AAATGTGTATATAAGGTGTGTCCAAAAAATAATGAAAAAGTTCCTACGCTCGAGAAGGGCTCTGTGAAGGGAGAAGCTGGCCAAGGTCATTTGGGGTGGGGTGCCAGGTATATGTTAGAACACTGATCAGTTGCTTTCCAGCCTTGTCAGAGTCGAGACATTCTTTTGTGTGACACCCTGTTCAAGTGCCTTGTATTAAAAATGCAAGCAAGGTGAGCAATAAAATTTTGTGTGAAATTAGGTAAAAGTGAAACTATGGAAATGGTGAAGAAAGCTTATGGAGAAGCTGCACTATCTGCACAAGTGTACCCATGGCACAAGGCCTTCAAGGAAGGACGAAAAGGTGTTAAGACGAATTAGGACGCCCCTCTTCCTCAAAAATGGAACATAATGTGGACGGCTCACTATCAGAATGATTGCAGAGGAAAAGTAAATTGTTCATGAAATCAGGATGGAGAATTTGAACATGGGAAAACTGTGTGCAAAACTTGTTCCAAAGAACTTGTCACCTGATCAGAAGGAACACCATCAACTTGTTTGAAGATGAATGGTTTGAAAAGACACCATTTTGGTGGTTTGTATAATGTCCAAAGAGCCACTAGCTCTGAACACCATCCCACATGAAGACTTCCAGGGATGCTATGAAGAACGCAAAAATTGCTGGGAGCGTTGTGTACACGATGCATACCTTGAAAGAAACAATTTTTAATTGTAACATTTTTCAATAAAATAATTTTTTATATAAATAAAACCATTTCACATTTCCCTTGCAATGATCTTATGTAAGCAGCCCCCTCCCCCAACTCTGCAGGTCACAGCCTAGTGAACAGACTCTGCAGTTTTGTAGAACATTCAGCTCTGTCTTGCATCACAGGACTTTGACAGGCAGATCAAAACAAACATGCCTTGTATCAATCAGCCAGGGGTGAGCACAGTTTGCTTAGGAACCAGAGCGCCTCTTTATTTACATATCTGTTCTCCCATTAACAGCTATCAGGTAATAGATTATTTATTTCAGGTACTTATATAGCGCCGTCAATTTACACAGCACTTTACATATATATTGTACATTCCCATCAGTCCCTAACCCTCAAGGGGCGTACAATCTAGGATCCCTAACATTCATACACATATTGGGGTCAATTTAGAGAGGAGCCAATTAACCTACCAGCATGTCTTTGGAGTGTGGGAGGAAACCCACACAAGCACAGGGAGAACTTGCAATCTCCAGGCAGGTGGTGCCGTGGTTGGGATTCAAACCAGCGACCCTAGTACTGCCAGGCAGAAATGCTAACCATTTAGCCACTGTGCTGCCCATGAAAACTTAAAGTGGTATTAAACTCAAACCTGAAAATAGAATATATTGCAGCTTACCAATCATTAGATGTGGTGGCTGTATTCAATATTTTCCCCCTCTGTTTTCACCTGGTGATCTGGCCAGTAACACACCTCTTGTATTAGAGCGCCTCCACTCTGGATGAAGAAGCACGAGGGGAGTTACACCTTTGGAAAGCAGCATTGCCAGTCTGGATGGAGTGGAGTGTTAGATGTACTAGCAGATCTAGATACACTAACAAATTGAAGCCAAACGCCTAACACTTCACAAGTAATTACAGCAAGTTATTTTTAATTTTTGGGATAAAGACTTACACATGTGTTAAATGGTTTGCTGCATCCCTGTAGTTGACAATCATCAAAAGAGGTTGTTCTTTTGAAAAACAACAGACTTACTGGCTGGATCCCCAGGTGAAAAGGAATGAAAGCCTTAAAAAAAGAAAATGAATGCAGCCATGACATCCAAGAGTTGGTAAGCTGCAATAGATTTTTGCTTTTGGGTTTAATACCGCTTTAATTATGTAAACCCTTGATAACTTTCATTTTAAATGTTAGGTGCATTGTAAATTAGTACTAGCTATTTCCACTAGGGGGCATCCATCACTTAACATTTTATACTCTATATTCAAAATTAAAATAAGGAAAAAAAAAAAAAAGAAGGAATCTGCTCCATGTTTTAGGACACAGACCAGGGTTATGGAAAGCAATCCTGGGTGCCCCCCTATGGCCAACGGTGCGTGATGCCCTTCTGCCTACAACACACACAAGTATTGCTTTATTTTTAGCTCATCTGCTATAAAACATCTTTTCTGCCACAAGAAAGGTTTTGAATCTCAGCTCCTTCTCTCAAAAGGAAGAAACCCCTTCTCCCTTTTTGATAAAGGCAATGGCCTCTGAATACTACTGTAAGAGAGCATTGCTGTAATTGGTTGTATTCTGGTAAAGGTAGTAATAAATCTCACTGTAACCTAGATCATGGCTGGTCAAAAATTTGCTTTGAATCTAGCAGCCAGTTTTTTTTTTAATTAACTGGAAGGATGGAAGGAAAGAAGTGGGCAGGCCGGAAAGTGGAAGTATAACTTCATCTTTACAAAACAAATATCTGTAAAGTGACCTTACACTAGACCCCCTTTCCTCACCCCTCTGGTCCCGCTGTTGCTGTGTCCCACGACACCTTGCCATCAGGCACCGGGACACCTCTTCACCAGTCCAGGGATTTGAAATCCCTACGGCTTTCTCTCCTCACAGCACTAACAGGACGGGCTAGACTGATTCTGACTGGTCAGTGCTGTCCATGTGAAGGTGCTGACCAACTGAAAATTCCTTTTGTCTATACACAGAGGTAAGGATAGAAGATGATGCCACAGGGATTTCAAATCCCTGGATCAGTGAAGTCGGCGTCCCGGTGCCTGACAGCAGATGGTTGACAAAAGCCCAGGCACTAGGACGCAGTTTCTAATCTCCATGGTGACCTGGCGCCTTGGAATCCTCGAGCCCTGACCTAGATAAAAAGTAAGTATTTTGGTTTTCTATACATATTCTCATCATTAAAGGGTCAACAATTTTTCTGTAAAAAAAAAAAAAAAAGTTACGATTACAATTTCAGAAATGTCTTTAGCTGAAATTGGACTTTCGTAATCTGGGGGAATACACAAGTCTAAATCCTTTTAAATTGCACTGTCACTGATGAGATTACTGGACACTGGAGCACACAGCAAAAAAAGAAAAAAAAGCCCTTAGGCCAGTTGCACACTGTCGTGATATATTTACTGATGTTTATACTCAGGATCTTGTTAAAAGAAAAACTAAAATGTTCCGTTAAAGACCTTGTGTAAATACATATAAATATGTGCGCATACACACGCCTAAAATTCTTCTTCATTGTCAGTGTTTCAATACACGGGCTACAGTGTTTAAGCATGCATAAATTACTGTACTCAAAAGTAAATTCTTCTCTTTTTGTTTTATGGCTCTGTGCTCATCGCTGTATTACTGGTCTTTATGCAGCAGTGTGCACTGTTTCATAGACAATAATGCATCTATATGCAGATCAATAAAAAATGCTGCTTTTTTTTTACCACTGTGTGCAACAGGCCTTAAACAGTTATCACAAGAAGTTTACAGGTTGGACTATTTCCTCTTTGGATTTCACCTCACTTTTATTTATTGAGGGGGCCTTCCCCAGGTAGGACAGAGACAAAACTTAGACAGGGTTGCTAACCCTTCCCTACCCAAAATTAAACAATGGCAGCTGTATTGTAATCTCCATTTGTTGTGTAATTGACGATCTGGCTATAGGTTCAATATTGTTCTTTGACTGGTATGCTTCAAAAGGTGCTGGTAAGCCATGGAATTTTTGAATAGTACCCAAATGTACCAAATTTTATTAAAGAATGTTTTAAAAAAAAACATTTTTGCATGTAAAAATGTGAATTTATTATTTTTTTTTTATTAGGAGCCTGTAAAACATTGCACCCATGATTAGATCACTGGTGCGATGCAGGGCTCTTGCAAAATGTCAGTGTAAGAGGTTTGCTCATACCTCGTACAGGCAGGCAGTTACACACTAGCATCAACAAACTACCTAGAGCGCTCAATCTCAGTCCCGTGAAGACTGAGACTGAGCTCTGCAGTCACTGTTGCTTTCTTATTCCGAGTCACAATCCTGCACAACGTCCTTTTGGTCAGCTGACCATGTCGATTGCGCTTATTCTTATCAGACCACATATTCCTGGAAATTGTATATGTGGGCAGCACAGTGGCTAAATGGTTAGCACTTTCGCCTGGCAGTACTAGGGTCTTTGGTTTGAATCCCAATCATGGCAACTCCGGTCTGGAGTTTGCATGTTCTCCCTGTGTCTGCGTGGGTTTCCTCCCACACTCCAAAGACATGCTGGTAGGTTAATTGGCTCCTGTCTAAATTGGCCCTAGTATGTGTATGTATGAATGTGAGTTAGGGACCTTAGACTGTACGCCCCTTGAGGGTCAGGGACTGATGTGAATGCACAATATATATATGTAAAGTGCTGCGTAAATTGACAGCGCTATATAAGTACCAGAAATAAATAATATGCCGTCACAATCTTTGATACTGTACCTCGCAACACTGCAAATAAATTGGTAGCTTCAGTCGCAGAGGCACCAGCTAAGCGGCACCAACAATTTGTCCTTTTTGAAGATCAGTAAGCTCTGACATGACTATTACTAGCAGTGCATGCAGTGAATGACAAAGGTTAGGTTTCCCACCTGTTAGCTAGGCGTCTCATCACACAGCAGAAGCAAAAGAATGTTACATCACTGTTTTCAATGCGAAACATGTCGTCCCTTTCACACCTGAAAATCATGTAGTGTTTCTATTTTTTTGTCTAACCACTGTAGCTCTGCTTTACAGTGGAAACAAAAAGCATCTTGTAAAAAATCTCTTTCCTTGCCAATGAGGTATAGTATTTCTCTTTTGCAAAATAACTTCTTCCTACTTATGATTCGATTACTTTTAAAGGAAGTTAAGTATGTTTTGCCTAATTTCCTCTTCAGTCTATAAAAAGTTCTGTGGTTTGAGTGCACCTGCGACATGTGTTAACATATGCGGTTGAAGAAGGCACACATGATAGAGAAGAAAATACAAAAAGGATATTTTGCTTGTCGAAAGAGACAATCGGCACAATGACATGCTCTGCATTAATCTTCTCCAAATAGGTCTGAGATAACATTCCCACGTGCATTCCAATTTCGTTTTTTGTGAATACGATGGAATCCTTTCCCAGACGCATAGATCCCGACTTAAATCCATTTCCATACAGACCGACAGGCACATGACCATGAACGGCTACCTTATCACTAAATCCGAAACTGAAACATGAGAAGAATGAAAGACAATGTTAATGCACAAAAAGGGGAAAAGGGAAAAAGGCAAGTCAGTGGGGCTGATCGCATACGTCATAAAAAGCAAACAAAACAAAAAACAAAAAAAAAAAAAAAAAAAACAAATAATGGGATGAATTGCCATCTCTTAACCATAGTATTATTATAATAATATATATATTATAATTCAAGAGCAGTGGTTTAGAGATTTACAACAGCCCATTTATTTTCTTCTCTCGGTTTTGTGAGGTTGTTGACAGGCAGAATCCTATTGCTGCTTGCAAACCTTTCAGGGATTCCTGAAGGGAGACATAAAATTCCCAATCTCCCAAAACAGGCACAGTCACTATAAAAGGCAACTCCAGCAGATATAACAGTGCACCCGGCACCCCACAGTGCAGGATCTGGCGGAGAAGTTCTATCCTCTTCTCTGCATCTCTGCTGCTGACTACTGAGACAAAGTGGATGCCGAAGCTGCAGGAGAGGTGCGAAGGTCACATGAAATAGCCTGGTGGGCCTTGCGTTTCATACCTGTGGTATACATAAATCAGGATTATTTGATACCTAACATGACTGCTATAATGCAAAGCAGACCAAATGGTTGCATTAAATTTCCTAAAAGATAGATACATTCGAGGTATATGGTTGTTAAATTCAATCTGTACAATAATATGTTGGTTGCTGGACTATAAAAAACAGGGCCATTTGAAAATATGAATACTTCTAGAAAAACTGGCATAAGGAGTGCTTGCTGAACTATCAAAACATTTTGACACCCACAAACCCTTACGTGTGTTATTTATCCACATGCCTTCCTCATGGACCAGAAAAGACGGCTGCAATCTGCAGCTTGGGGCTCCTAATTTTCCAATGAAAACAAAGGGCTACTGACTATCAGAACTGGACATAATCCAAAGCCAAACACCAAGCAGTTAAATAGTTGTTACTTTTCAGCTCTGTTTACACTCCTGTGACTTGGGATCAAACTTGTGAGACCCAAAGTCGCAGGAAATGTGAAATGTCATGCATCTCTATGACATTAGTTCCAATTGACACTACTGAAGTCTCTGCAACTTCAGAAAAGGTTTCTGCACTACTTTGATCTGACTTTGGTACAGCTTCAGGGCCACAGAGTGTAAAAGTCTTGTTAAAGTCACATCAAAATTGTATCAAAGTCAGACTCCAAAGTTGCACTGAAAATCGCACAACTTTGGAGTTGGCTCGTGTGAACCAATCCTTAATCCCATACATTTTACTGTTGCTATTGTCTGTACACTGTGTGCACAATTATAAGGCAAGTGAGTATTTTGACAAGCCATCATTTTTATGCACGCTGTCCAAATCCAAGCTGTATGAATGCTTATTGGATTTAAGCATATCAGGTGATGTGTATTTGTGTATCGAGTGAAGGTGTGGCCTAAGGAGATCAACACCCTATATCAAGGTGGTAAAATGGGCCAAAAAAGATTTAACTGACTCTGAAAGGTCAAATTCTAAAAAGTCTTTGGGAGGGATGAAGCACTCTTGAAATTGCTAAGATATTGGTGGTGCTTGATCACAGAACTAGAAAAACGTTTTGCTGCAAATAGTCAACAGGGTCACAAGAAACATGTTGAGAAAAAAAAAAACAAACACCCCGCAAATTAACTGCCAAAGATTTGAGAAGAATCAAACGTGAAGCTACCAGGAACCCATTATCCTCCAGTGCTGTTGTATTCCAGAACTGCAACCTACATGGAGTTCCCAGAAGTACAAGGTTTTCAGTGCCCAGAGACATGGCCAAGGTAAGGGAGGCTGAAACTCGACCACTACTGAACAAGACACATAGGCTGAAACATCAAGACTGGGCAAAGAAATATCTAAAAATTATTTTTCAAAGGTTTTATGGACTGATGAGATGAGTGTGACTCTTGACGGACCAGATTTATTGGCCCTTGGCTGGATCAGTAATGGGCACAGAGCTCCACTTCGACATCAGCAAGGTGGAGGCGGATGTACTAGTATGGGCTGCTATTATTAAAGATGAGCTAATTGGACCTTTATGGGTTGAAGATGGACTCAAAATCAACTCCAAAACCTACTGCCAGTTTTTAGAAGACTCTTTCTTCAAGCAGTGGTACAGGAAAAAGTCTGCATCTTTCAAGAAGACCATGATATTTATGCAGGACAATGCTCCATTGCATGCATCAAAGTACTCCACTGCATGGCTAGCCAATAAAGGCCTTACACATGAAAGAATAATGACTAGACCCCCTTTCCCCACCTGACCTAAACCCTATTGAGAACTTGTGGGCCCTTCTTAATTGGGAGATTAATGGTGAAGGAAAACAGTACACCTCTCTGAACAGTGTTTGGGAGGCTGTGGCTGCTGCACAAAGTTGATAGTCAACAGATCCATGAATGGGAGACTTATGACTGTTATTGAACGGAAGAGTGGCTATATTGGTCACACTTTTTTTTTTTTTTGTCAGAAATGTTTATTTGTACATTTTGAGTTGTTTATTCTCACTTTAACAGATGAAAATAAACAAGTGAGATGGGAAAAGTATCGATCTTAATTTAGTTGCATAATAATTCTGCACACTAATAATTGCCCAATAATTGTGCACACAGATATTCTCCTGAAAAAAGCCAAAACCTCACTTTTACTTTCTAAAAAAAAATTCAGGTTTGAGGTTTATTTTGGATTGACCGGGAGCACTGTAGTTGCTCAATAATGAAATATATCCTCATAAACTTACCTAATAATTGTGCACAGTGTATTTGCAATACTTTTTTTCTGTAAATATTTTCCTTCCTTTCATTTTCAGGATGGTTAAGCGGATTCTCTAAATGCTGTAAATAAGAACTTTCATATGAAGGGTCTGATCAAGTCCTCCCGTCAGTTTTTCAGGTGGACCTGGCTGAACTCTCCACTCACCCCCTATGAACCAGCGGGTGTAAACGGACACAGTGCGTTTACGCCTACCTACCTCAATTCTATCTGTTCTGCAGCAAAAACTTAAAAAAAACGAAGGGGATCCATCCCCCTTCATGTAGGCAGGTCAGATCTGGAGGGCGGTCAGATCAAAAGCTGACAGCAGAGTTGGTTTACACCCAACCGCCCACAGAGCATGAGCAGGCTCTGTCCATGTTTGCCATACAGAAACTGAGCAGACATGGACCTGTAAACTGCCCTCTCTGCGTGATCAGCAAAGGTACAGTGGACAGATCTCATGCTAATCTAAACAAAGCCTGCCACGTGTGAAAGGGGCAAAAGAATCCTTGCCTGTGGGAAGAAAAAAAAAAATTGCCATATTTTAAAAAAACTCTGTTTTCTCCCTGTCTGGTTGGTTGTTTGGGACATTTCTTAACTCTTGAAAGATCAGAGCTGCTATAACAGATACTGTGAATGGTGTGTGATTCTGGTAAATCAAATGGTGGCAGCTAATGTTTGAAAAAAAAAAAAAAGTTAACTGCAGAGTGACAATTGCTGTCAGCCTCTGGCACAGACTGATGTCTTGCAAACTAGAAAATCTCTTTGCGGGGTGGGGCTGGGAGTGCCATTGACATATCTGGGGCAGCGGTTGGACTGCTGTTGTCACAGATACTACACATAACAAAGTAAAATGGAATTCCAAACACAAATTAATTTTCTTCTAAGTGTTGCATGGACTAGAGTAAGAGTTTCTTACTTCCCGTGCTGGTGATAAGTGTGACTGGGACAGGAAATGAGGTGCAACAATAAAAACAACACCATACCCTCAGTATAGTTAGTACATGCATTCATATATATCCCCACTATCTACAACCTTAGAGTGGGTGTGGTCTGGAATTCTGCATGATATATTGGGCTGCCCCATAACGGTGAATAAAACACAACACTTACCTAAGCATCTTGTGCAATTTGTCTAAATTCATCCCATTCCCATTGTCTGTAAATGTGAGACAGATCTCATCTTTAAGAACAGTTTTGTCAATCCATATTTGCTTCGCGCGTTGACATCGGGATCGTAGGCATTATCTGTAATCAATGAAAGAATGATAGTCATTTTGAAACATATTTCAGCTTTCCTTTCCAGCATCAGAGAGAAAGCTGTAGTTGGAATTGCAAGAAGCCTGCAATTCTACTGTGAAACGGAAGACACCATTCCTGCTTTAACAATTCTTTTTGAAGGTAACTGCAGAAAAACTGTTTACTCACGGTGTTGAACACTGAACCGTATGAACATTAACCACTTCCAGACCGGACACTTTTACCCCCTTCCTGACCAGGGCAATTTTCAGCTTTCAGCTCTGTCACACTTTGAATGACAATTGCGCGGTCATGCAACACTGTACCCAAATAATTTTTTACCATTTTTTTGAGACAGATAAAGCTTTTATTTTGGTGGTATTTATTCACCGCTGGGAATTTTATTTTTTTTGCTATGTAAATGAAAATGTCCAAAAATTTTTTTAAAAAGTGTTTTTTTTAATTAAAATTTTGCAAATAAAATATTTCATCATAAATCTTTGCCAAAATTTATTCCGTTATCTTTTTAGTAAAAAAAAAAAAAATCCAAAATTAGTTTAGAACCAAAAATTATAATTTTTAAACATTTTTTTTTACATTTTTATTTTATTTTTTTATATATTATTTTTTTTTTTTTTACATACTGTCACCCTAGCAGTACAGTGTCACCATGGTGACACTGTACTACTTGTGGGGGGTGATGATTTTTTTTTTTTTACACGGATTGCTTTTACACCCATATAGGATGTAAAAGCAATCATTTCTCTTTCTTTCTGTCTGCATTCTTGCACTCATTGAGAAGTACTGAGTGAGCTGTGATTGGTCACAGCTTGTCACATGGTACAAGGCTTTTGTGAATAGCCTTGTACCATGTGACCTCTGTGATCATTCACAGATTTCACACGTAGTAAGCAATGATGTCACAAGTGACATCTTGCGTATTACTTTGCATGTGATCACTGATTGGCCAATCAGTGATCACATGATCGGGACCTTGTACAGAGGTCCCGTCCGACGATCGGTGTTTCACTGTGTCCTGAGGACACAGCGGGCACCGGATCACGGTGCTGCGCGCTCCGAGGGAGCGCGCACAAGCAGGGTGCGGGGAGGCCGTTTATAAACGGCCACCCGACCCTGCACTGCCACCGTCCGGCCGTTTATATGCAACGGCCGGTCGGGAAGTGGTTAACATACATGAATCAGCCTTGCCTAAAGACCAACTGAAAGACACAGAAATGAACTTGACTTTACACAGCAATTCTAGTAAACTCTATATTTAAATGTTCAGTCTTATCTCCACTTCCCCAGTACAGCAGTATTGCAGCGTGTATAAAATACGACGGTTTTACAATCAGTAGTACCAAAGTGACCTACTGCCCTCTAATCACAAAAGGTATGTGACATTCAGCTCTGCCAGCACAGCAGCAGGAAAATAAAAAGGAGGAATAGTACTGCCGTACGTCCCTAGGATTTCCCCATTCCAAGGCCTGTAAGCCTCCAACGCATAAAGGCGGGCAGAAGTAATATCACTGACTGGCCTTCAGCACCACCTCCTGTCCCCTTAGAGATGGAAGTACGTCGCCTGAAAACTGAAACCAAAGTAGCTGATTGCATGTGTGACTGATCAGAAGCTGCACAGGCTGAGGAGTGTCTCTTAAAAAGGAAAAAAAAAAACAAAAACTAGGGCACCAAAACTGGAGATACTTGGAGAAGAAAGAGGGTAAGTGGAGCAATGTGGCAACAAAAATCAATAATTCTGTAAATCACTGATTAACAACAGAATAAGGGCATCTGAATGCAGCCAAACAAAGAAATGACACTGCACTTGCTGAGCTGAAATTTACATCAATCTACTCTATCCAGTGGGGAGCCCAGAAAACACAAAAAGCAGATATATATTATACACACACAGGGTATAAAAAGTCTGCACAGCAGGACCCTCCTATCCCTCTTGTATTGAACTGTATTGTTGCTGTATTGTCTCCCTTTATATTGCAAAGCGCTGAGCAAACTGTTGGCGCTATATAAATCCTGTATAATAATAGTAAGAACTAGAAAAGCTACAATTTCTGGGGAAATTGTGTGAAGTGTTCTTGCTCCACCAGTAGTCTACAACTGGAGTGGGTGGAGTAACTGGGTGGAGTAACTGGGTGGAGTGGGCGGAGTAAACTGTTGTGTGGTTGGAGTGGCTGGAGTAACTGTGAAAAGGTTGGACTGGGCAGAGTAACTGTGTGGAGTGTTTGGAGTGAGTAAAGATAGTAAACATTACACTAACCAATTGATTGATCAAATTTAAAAAGTGCACATGGCAAGCTTGATAGAGTGAGAAATGCATTTCAACTTTTAATTATTTATATAGCACATTTAATTGCAATGTTGTTGCCCAAAGTGCTTCACAGTTACATTTCCAACTTGCTCACTTCACTGGCAGTTGCCATCTTCAAACAGTTGTAGTTTAAGAAATTTAAATCCTACATCGAAGAGCTTTATATTGTGAGAATCACAAGACCCAGACCTACATTTTGATGCATAGTATGTCTCTGAAATATTAAAAATGAAGGCACAGTCGCAGTTTAGACATTGCCCGTCAAATTTGAGGTGGCTAGAGTGGAGTTTCAATGAATGTCAATGGGCGGCGTGAGTTGCAAACAAATGGTTATATTGTGAAAACTATCAGGACTATGGCTTAGCCGTGGACATTTTTAGTGGCAGCAGTGATAGCTGAACATTTTCATATAAGATTTGTGTAGGTGGGCTCACACTCTAGCTTTTGTCAGCTCCCACATTCCTATGGGACCAATTTCACCACAAAAATGCCAATATTTCGTGAACCATTCAGCGAAACGTTCCACAAAGGAACACAGCACAGCCATCCAGAGCAGTGCGATTACAATGAAGCACACAGACACTGCCCCCTAGTAAAACACCCAATGCACACAGTTAACCCTTTGATCGCCCCTGTTAACTCCTTCCTGCCCAGTGCCATTGGGTACAGTGTCAGTGCTTTTTTTTTTTTAGCACTGATCACTGTATTGGTGTCACTGGGATGTCAGTGACACCAAGTCAGTTCCTCCCAGTGTCAGAATGTCCGCTACAGTTGATCACCGCCATTTCTAGTAAAAGAAAAGAAAAAAAAAAATTCCAGTATCTATACCGCCATTTGTAAACGCCATAACTTTCAAATAAACCAATTAATTTTCACATAATGGGATTTTTTTTTTTAGCGATTTGGCCTAAATTTATGCCGAAATTTGATTTAAAATTTTTTTTACTGGACAGGTTTAATAGCAAAAAGTCAAAAAATAGTTTTTTTCTCAAAATTGTCTGCAAAAAAAAAAAACCTAAAAAAAAAACAAGATGTAAATTTCATTTGGGTACAGCATTGCATGACCGCACAATTGTCAGTTAAAGTAACGCAGCGTCATGATACAAAAATTGGCCTGGTCAGGAGGGGGGGGGGGGGGGGGGGTAAATCCTTAGGAGGGTAAGTGGTTAAGATAACAATACACATTTGTTTTTTTTTAAAGGACAACCAAGGCCTTACCGAAAGAATGGAACAAGTGGAGTGTGCCGTGAACGTACGCACCAGAGGCAGGACGCAGCCTCCATTTTGTTAAGAATCTCCATTTTCTGTGAGAGGCACAGTGACATATGGCAGCGTGTGTGTGTGTTAAAAGTGTCACAGGCCAGAGCCCAGCAGGGGGGATATGAGCTGTAGGACCCCCAAGGGAGCTGTGGCTTCACTGTCCAAAGAACCTGTAAAATGTAGCACCTCGTAAAAGCTACAGCAAGCCTTCCCAGGAGTTCAAAGACATCCAAAAGGAAGGCAGGAACAGCTAACACTTTTAAAAATCCATTTTTCCCCTATGTCTCATATCTTAGAATATGAGAGACTTACATAAAAACCAGGCATATTGTCAGATTGGCCACGAGGAGGCGAACAGTTTGAACAGGTTACTCTTCGTGGTTGGAATACATACAAAAAACAGAAAAGTAGATCTCGTGAACCATTCAGTGTAGAATTTCATAATTCATATCTAATCAATCCTCAGACGTGTCTGCATAATAATCTACTACCCGCGGGTGGAATGTCACTTGTGCATAGGAAAAGTGATGAGCAAAATATGAGTTATGAGAGATTCTGGCTCTAGTTGAGGTATCCGCCCGACTATCCCTCCCTAAATGGGGCATTGGTCCTTGACTTCAGAGAAACCCCCTGCTAGGGAACTACAAAATGGGCTGTCATGCCTAAGAGAGCTAAGTTGAAGAATTCTCCCACTTACATCAATACCACCTGGGGAGACCCGTGCCCTCTTGCTCTGAAACTTGATCTGCTAACCCAGGACTTTGGCAAGTTTTTATTTTTTATATATATATATATATATATATATATATATATATATATATATATATATATATATATCTTTGTTCTGTAAATATTTTTATTGCACCCCTTTTTGACTTTTCAGTAATAAATCTTTCCTTCTGAAAGTGTTGAACTGTTTCTATAACTCTTAATTGCAATTTACGAATTCCTGCCTCTAAAAGAGAAGCTACGGTGTTTGTTTAAACCCTCTGTAAAATCGGCCTGCAGGGACCGTGTTATACAGACGATTACGTCAACCATTATAGTGTTATTGCGGATATCGCCGAGTTTCCTCTTTCTCTGTACAAAAAGGAGGTGGTGGCAGTGTTAAGGGTTAATTGCGTAATTAACCTGACCCAGTAACAATCGCTCAGGCTGCCGGTACATCAATTGTGGTCCATTAGCTGTAAAATCGTTGTGCAGGGTGCGGCTGGGTGTGGCATTGTTACACACGTGACATCGCGATTTCAGATTGGCCAGTCCTTTTGGTAACGAGTTTGGTGAGAAGGTCAGGGGTCTGATATTGGTGACAGCGATCGTGGGATCGTCACATATTGGTGGCAGCGATCCCGCGTCCGTCACAGAGTGTATCTGGAATCTCAGTGAGGGGATCTCACCAGAGAAAGTATTTAGAGATGGCGGCAAGTCATTTAGTCCTGTCTGTAAGAATGGAACAGGTAATGGATATCTTCAAACATCAGGGATAAACTGTAGCCAGGAAAATTGGTAAAAGAGCAAAATCCTGAACAACAAAAGACAAAATTAAAAGAGCATGACGACATACCTATAAGTTCTGCTACAGCACTGAAAGGCCAGGTATGACTCGTTGAGTTGGTATGCAGAAACTTGGGGCATAACTGGAAGAAAAAAAAAAGTATGTTTATTGTAAATATTTTTTCTCTCTCTAATATATATACAGATAGATATACATACATACACACATATATACACACACACACATATACAAAAACACACACACACACATATACAAATACACACACACACATATACACACACACACATACTAAGTTACACTCATGTATCTAAAAATTCATTCCGAATTATTTTTCAGCAGATACACACCCCGATCTCAAACTTATTATATTTTTAAGTCATAAACAAATTTATCAATATACCAAATAAAATCTGGTAAAATAAAATCCAGCTCTTCTTTTGCACAGTTAGGGTTTGTTCACCATGACTAACTAAACGCTTCAGTTTACTATGCGGGCAGCTGTCAGTTTTGGCTGCGGTGAGCGGGCAGTGTTATGTGCGCCCCAGCGCATCAATGTTCCCTTTTTGTCAACTTTATTTGAAGTGCACAAAGTGACACTTCATTCATGTCACTCACCAAATCAAGAACAGTAGCACAGGGTGTTGTGCTGCTGTACGATGCCTGCTTGTGCACTGCGATAACATACAGCAAGTGTGCATTTTATCGCAGCTTACTACACCACGCCTCCAGGCCGCATTTCACTGCAAATGGGACACAAACTATTGTCTTCTATGTGCCCTAGTCACTGCCCTATGTGTGAACGGGCCCCAACAAAATGAGCTCCTTCCAGTCCTGACAGTCTAAGGGCTCTTTCACATTTTGCCCTGAAAAACATTCCATGTTCTAAATACTTTTTAGAGAGCATTTGACAGGCGGCGAGGAGCGGTTATATCATCTGTGTATTGCACATGGTTGCAGAGTGACCCTAGTGAACTGAATATAAAATGGCAGGTGGGGTAACAAGTAGTGCCATCATCCCTGTATAAACCATATGAGAAAAGAAAACTTCCCTTATATGAGATTTTCACAGCAAAAAAAAAAAAAAAAAAAAAAAAAAAAAAAAAAAAAAAAAAAAGGATAAAATCGTTTGATTTATACAAGATTTGATCAATATTTTTTTTAACACAAAAATGTTACCATTTCCATAGACATACATAATTGCACATGGTTGCAGAGCCTATTGGACTCAAAGGGGCAATTTTGACCAGAGGTGCCGCTTTTCAAACTCTGCACCCAAGTAAAGAATGCAGCATCGCGGCTTATGTTCAGCCCTGTCCAGCTGTATTGTGACAGTTTTGGTGGGTGGAAAAACCGTGGCTCAGCAGCCTATTTTCACTGCCTCCCAAGTGTCCGTCTGAAAGAGCCCTAATAGCCTGCTCCAATACAATTTATTAATAATGTACAGTTACAGACAATTATTTTCTCACATTGTGGTTATGATATAAAATTAACCCCACAAGATAACGCAGACCAGGGTGGATTAAAATTAATGATTTAAAAAAAAAAAAAAAAAAAAAAAAAAAAAAAGATTTTTTTTTTATTTAAATCAGATTTTTTTTGATTTAAATCGGATTTTTTTTTTAAATAAAATGCCTTTTGAGAAAAATATATTACCATCCAAAGGTTATTCCATCATGAAATAAAGATTAGTTTTTTAATTATGTAGAATAAGGCTGTATAGGTTTAATTTTTTTGGTAAATAAATTCCATGAATCCATTCACAATGTCACGCTCTTCCAGAGGTTTCTGTAAGATTATTGGGCAGTTTCTCTGCCTACAAGATATTATCACAGATGTTTGGTTTACTTTGCAGTTCTCAAAAACTGAATTTGACTCAGCGGAGATCACATGCCTCTTCTTCACAGCAAAAATGTTATAACATGAACAGAGTTAAGAAAAAGACCTTCATCCTAACTTCTACAAACCTATGAATACAGAATCAACCCCTTCAGTGCTAAGTTTCAAGAAGTTCAGTGAATAGAATAGAAACAATATTTTTCTGATTGTTTGGAGTGGAATAGATCTGCACAAGAAGAAAGTGAAACTAAGTGTGAGGAGGAAGGGGCTGACAGTCTAAGTTTCTGAAAATATATATATTTTAGCCAAATTAGTTAACAAACATGGATGTTTGTTTAAGCCAGTGTTTCTCAACTCCAGTCCTCATGGACCCCCAACAGGTCATGTTTTCAGGATTTCCCTCAGATGAAACAGCTGTGGTAATTACTAAGGCAGTGAAACTGATCAAATCACCTGTGCAAAATAATGGAAATCCTGAAAACATGACCTGTTGGGGGTCCATGAGGACTGGAATTGAGAAACACTGGTTGAAGCAAATAACATATGCTGGAATGTTATTTGTTTCAGTTGAATAAATCTATTTAAATTATTATTAAGGTAATGATTATTTTTCTCCTTCCTAAGTACAACAGAAAAGTTGTCCAAATATGAATGATTAACCTATTAAACTGGGGATAAAAAAACTAATATGAAAAGTTGTTATTCTAAAAATCTTCATCTACTTGTATATTAAAGTTATACCAGCAAGAATTAGTCTTTATGTAGAAAACTAGGATTTAAATCAAGCCTTACTGACTAGTGATTTAAATCAGTTTGATTTAAATCAAATCCACCCTGACTCAGACTGAATCTGTTTTACAATCTAGTGGACCCTAGAACATCAACTCTGCTAAGCTGCCCACAAGACAGTTTGTCCAGGCCTCAGTGCAATAGGTTCAAGCTGCACATCCTGGTAGAAGGATGGGGAAGAGGCCTACCACTGCATCTTTCCATTATCACTCCCAAAAAACATTTTGTAAAATATTATAAAAAAAAAAAACAAAAACACAAAAACAGTCTGAGCCAATATATACCAACATACAACAGCAACATGCAATAAAAGTTGTCCAAATATTAAACTGATGATTTCAGCGCTTCAAGCAACCAAAAAAAATACCTTTGTAACTTCCAGATGCACAGAATAACTTTCAGTGATAGAGTGAGAACTCCCCACATAAGTCATCAAGATAATAGGGGCAAGTGTATTTTTTTTTTTTTTTTTTTTTTACGGACCCAAAATGTGAGGATAATCGAGGTCTGATGACTCCAAAACCTGTGTGAGGTGAGAATGGGGAAGTTGTATTGCACACAGGGACACCCTAATTTTCTCTAAAACATGTCGATGACATTAACTACTTGCAGACCACCCACCATACGTTTACTGCAGGCGTGCGGCACTGGCAGGCCGGATCATGTACATGTATGTCATCCAAATGAGGGAGAGTATTACGAGCGCTTGGAAAAAAAGGTAGATCATAAGCAGCTAGCATAAAGGTACAGACCCAAACCTTCACAGGATAATAATATGTAAAATGCAGCGCTAAGATGAATATAAAAACAATTGATTAAAAGTGGCATAAACTGATATTGAAAATAAAATTGAATCCTATATATATAATAATAGTGGTGTTGGATAAAGTGCTTATAGTGATAAATCATGCCGTCTCCTGCGACGTGACAATAGTCCCAATGATAGGTGCAAATACTGTGGATTCCGTGCTCTTAGGTGGATATATAATATGCACTAACCAGAAAGCGCATAAGACTGCACATTTGAGTTGTCAGACCACTCCTGGTGCTCAGGAACTGAAGGTGTAAGGGTCATCTGACAGACCATCAGCACGGCAGGTAATCAGCAAATCGATTCTAGCAGCTGTGGTCCTCCATCCAGCCAGCAGGAGGTCATCAAGCATGCAGTGATGAGTATTCAAATAGCCAATGAGGGGCTCATCGATGCAGGGTGCCTATACCCACACTCGAACTCCACCTTAAAAGAGGGGGCTCAGTGGTGCAGCCAGCCCCAAAGAAACTCTGATAGTGTAGTATGTTTGAAGAGTTTATTATTAGGCAGTGAAAAACACACTCACATATCAAAAAACCAGGAACAAAGATGGCCGCCGGTCTCCAAGCGGCTCGGACGGCGTGACGTCACCGGCTAGGCCCCACTGACGCGTTTCGTGCGGACGAGCGCGTTGTCAGCGTCCCTTTGACCAGTACATCAGGATTGATCAATTTTCAAATATATACCATAGTTTGTAGCCTCTAACTTTCATACAAACCAATTTATATATACACTAATGGGGATATTTTTTTACTAAAGACGTAGCAAAACTATATTTCGGCCTAAATTTATGATGAAATTTGATAGGTTTTAAAACAGAAAGTAGAAAATATCAGGGGTTTTTTTTTTGTTCAAAACATTTGGGCTTTTAGTTTATATCGCAAAAATAAAAAACCCAAAAGGCGATCAAATATCACCTAAAGAAAGCTGTATCTGTGTGAAAAAAAAAAAAAAAAAAAAAAAAAAAAAAAAGATAAAATGTCATTTTTGTACAGTATTGCATGATCGTGCAATTGCTAGTTAACCAGTTGCTGCCTGGCCTATAGCCAGATGGCGGCCAGGCGAACAGCTCATCCCTCCGGGTGGATGCCATATGGCGTCCTTTCAGGCTTGTGCATTGTGCCTGCCCGCAGGGCAGCTCTGTGGCGCGATCTGTCACCGGCCGTGTACCTCGAACACGGCCGATGACAGATCTGTGTACCGGCCCCGTTGCCGGTACCATGTGACCTGCTGTGACCAATCACAGCAGGTCACATGACAGTTGTATACAATGGAAGGCTTCCTTTCATGCCATCCATTGTATACAAGTGTATCTAGCTGTGAATGGTCACAGCAATCACATGCACAAGCTGGGCCAATCACAGCCCAGCTGTGACATGTGATTAGTCGTGGCCAAATCACAGCTAAGCACAAAAAAAAAAAACCCTGAATGAATCGATGTCATTAGGTAAATGCTTGCTTATAGCAATGTAATTCTTTGCTATAAGTAAATTGTGTAAAAAAAAAAAAAAAATATATATAATATATATATATATATATATATATATATATATTGATCACTTCCCCAAAGTAGTACAATGTTACTATGGTCATAGTGAAATATGAAAAAAAAAAATCTTAAGAAAAAATAAAAAAAATTAAAACTAATAAAAAAAATTTAAAAATGATTTTTTTTTTCGTACTGTC